TTGATATGATGGAAGAAAGAAGACAACACAAATGCAAAAATCAAGTGAAGTATCAAGAAACAAGTCACAATATAAAAACAAAGATAAAGGAAGCGAAGGAACGCTGGCTGAAGGAGAAATGCGATGAAATCGAAGAGTGCGACAGAAGATATGACTACCACAACATGCACAAAAAGATCAAAGAATTAACAACTAAAAAGAAAACCAATAATCTCCACCCGACACTAATAGACGCAGACGGTAACCTTATATCAGACGACTTGAAGCTCATTGACACATGGAAAGATTACGTAGAACGACTTTTTAACGATAAACGCAGAGCGACAGTGGACCAAGATGACGACATGACTGGACTTGAAATACTAAGGTCTGAAGTTTAAAAAAGCCATTTCATCGCTAAAAAACGACAAAACATCAGGTCCCGACAACATACAGGGCGAGATCATAAAACTCCTATGCAAAACGGATGACCACTTCCTCGATTTTCTGACAGGCCTTTTCAACACCTTTTACGACAAAGGGGAGATTCCGGAGGAATGGCTTCGATCGATCTTTTTAGCCATACCTAAAACACCAAGTGCAAAACACTGTGATCAACACCGCTTAATAAGCTTGATAAATCACATTACCAAAGTTTTCACCAAAATCATACACAATAGAATATATAACAAATGCGAAGCAAATATATCGGAGTCACAGTTCGGATTCCGAAGCGCATTGGGCACAAGAGAGGCGATCTTTAGTCTGCAAGTTTTAATTCAAAGATGCAGAGACATGCACAAGGACGTCCACTTGTGCTTCATCGACTTCTCCAAGGCGTTTGACAAGGTCAAACATGATAAACTCATGGAAATGCTCAGGAAGATGCATATTGATGACAAGGATCTGCGCATAATAACCAGTCTCTATTGGAACCAAAGTGCTGAGATAAAGATGGGCAACTTACACAATGCAGATAGATATTAAAAAGGGTGTACAACAGGGATGCGTCCTCTCGACGCTCCTGTTCAATATATACTCTGAACAAATCTTCATAGAAGCACTGGGAGAAGTTTCGGAGGGTATCAAAGTAAACGGAGGGGTAATCTTAGATATGCTGACGAGAGGGCTAATATTAGATATGCTGACGACATAGTTATTATCGCAAATGACTGCAACGAGCTTCAAAGACTCATGCAAAGCATACACACAGCAAGTCAAGAATATGGTTTAGAACTCAATACAACCAAAACTAAATGCATGCTCATCAGCAGAACACAACAACTTCCGATGCAATTGACATTAAACAACCGAAAAATAGAACAAGTGGAGACATACACAGACCTTGGAACCACAGTCAACATAAAATGGGACCAGTCAACAGAAATAAGATCACGAATTGAAAAAGCGCGAAATGCGTTCAACAATATGAAAAAGTGGTTCACAAGCAAAATCTCAATGGAACTAAAATTAAGACTGGTCAAGTGTTATGTCTTCCCGGTCTTGTTCTATGGGGCAGAGGCATGGACCACAACGGAAGCCACCCTGAAGAAACTAGAATCCTTTGAGCTGTGGATATATCGCCGTATTCTTCGGATATCCTGGACAGACCACATCACTAACGTGGAAGTAATGCAGAGAATAGGCAAAAGCAAAGAAATAATCTTCACCGTAAAGAAACGGAAGCTTGAGTACTTCGGATATGTCATGAGGCATACTAAGTACCGGCTGCTACAGTTAATAGTCCAAGGAAGAATCGACAGTAGGAGGGGACCGGGAAGAAGACGACACTCATGGATGCATAACCTGCGACAATGGTTCGGACTAACATCGACCGAACTGTTCAGAGGTGCCGTAAACAAAGTCAAAATAGCCTTGTTAATAGCCAACGTCCGAAACGGATCGGGGAAAGGAAGAAAAAAAAAGAAGTAGACTTATTTAACAAGATTTATGAAAATAGTATAATTCCTAAAGAATGGCTAAGATCAACCTTTGTCCCTCTTCTCAAGAAGACACATGCTAAGCAGTGCAGTGATCATCGCACGATCAGTCTGATAAGCCATACCTTAAAAATATTCCTCAAGATAATTCACAATAGAATTTACAGAAAATTGGAAGAAGATATCGGAGAAATTCAGTTTGGATTCCGGGAGGGATATGGAACTCCCGAAGCATTATTTTCAATCAAAAACTCATCAATAGTTGGTCATGCTGGACGTTATCAAGCGTTTGATAACGTCCAGCATGACCAACTTTTAGAGATCTTGGAAGCTAAACAGTTAGACACTCGCGATATAAGAATAATATCTACTCTGTATTATAATCAGAAGGCAATTGCACGCATCGAAAATAGCACAATAAATGCAATTCAAATTAAAAAAGGAGTTAGACAAGGATGTGTGCTGTCACCAATGCTATTTAATCTCTACTCGGAAGAAATTATGAAGAAAGCAATGGAGGAAGAAGAGATTGGGATAAAAGTTAAAGGCCAACCAATTAATAATATTAGATACGCAGATGATACGGTTTTAATGGCGGAGATAGTAGAAGATCTTCAAGCCATTTTAAACAAGGTAGTCACAGCTATAGTGAAGAGAAAGGGTTAACAATGAATGTCAAAAAGACGAAATTCATGACTATCTCAAAAAACAAAGATTGAATGCAAACCTGTACATTCACAATAACAAAATCGAACGGGTGCACAAATATAAATACTTGGGAACAAGTGTTAACAACAATGACATCACAGAAGAAATTAAAACTAGACTTGGAAAGGCTCGAGCTGCTTTTGTTAATATGAAGGACATTCTAGGAAGTCATAACATTAACCTAAACCTGAAAATGAGATTGGTTAGATGCTACATCTTTTCGATACTGCTGTACGGAGTAGCGACTTGGACTTTAAACAAGAGCAATATCGATAAACTAGAGGCCTTCGATATAGAAGAATGCTGAGAATATCATGGACAGCAAGGATCACGAACAAGGAAGTTCTAGGAAAAATGAAGAAGGAACCAGAGATTGTGTTTACAATCAAACGCATAAAATTGCAATATCTGGGACACGTTATGAGAAATGAGCACCGTTACTTTCTGCTACAGTCTATATTGCAAGGTAAAGTCAAAGGTAAGCGAGGACCCGGTAGAAGGAGAATATCATGGCTGCGGAATTTAAGAACATGGTTTAAGAAAACCTCAACGGAGCTGTTTCGAGCCGCAGCGAGCAAGGTTATGATTGCCAATATGATTTCCAACATCCGAAACGGATAGGAACCAGAAGAAGAAGAAGAGGCCTTCGAAATCTGGATATATAGAAGAATTTTGAAAATACCTTGGACAGACAAAATAGCAATTAGTTTAGTTCTTCGAAGAATGAACAAAGAAAGGGAGCTGTTGATCACCATCAAGAGAAAAAATCTGGAATATCTTGGCCATGTGATGAGAGGGAAAAAGTACCGATTGCTCCAGTTAATTATCCAAGGAAAGATTCAGTGTAAACGAAGCGTGGGAGACTCCGTAGCGGAGAGGGCACTTGAAGAAGAGAAGAAGATACTAAGCCTTCCACTGGAGAAACGTTCAAAGGTACATCGAATGTTGATTAGCGTTGTCCATTATGATGACAGAACCTTTTGGACTAAACTGAGGAAGCACTCTTCGAATGCAACGTCAACGGGTCCAAATAAATCTCTTTATAGTAATAATTAAGTCGTGAAGTAATGTAAGCAATCTTCTTTTTGCTAAAATTCCATTATTATTATCTTCGCATTTAACACAAATTTCACCAAAGCTTGTTATATAGTATGAACATTGTTTTTTGTCACATTTTTCTGATACGTCTGGGTCAATTAAAAATTTACTTTGATAGAACAAATCTGTATTGTTCTCTCTATTGTTTTTGAAAGAATTCGCCTTTAAGATTGTTTTTTAATCTTAAAATTTTGCATTTGAACAAACTAATCGCTGAAGCAGTTATACCGGTCCGAAATGGGTATCACTTCTTACAAACAAATGATGAAATACTATTTATCAATAACGGTTCTACCATCTTCTAACGAAATCGTTAGAACATGTCCCTTTAAAAAACAAACAGGGTCATTTCCATTTGTTTGTCAACGCTGCCAGCGCTGACTACTTTTGTTGGCTTTGGTTCGTCTTGAAACACCCACATCGCTGATTGATTTTTGATTTCGGCTTACAGCCATGTTTTATTATCAGTCACAAAAAAATAAAAACACGACTTAAACGATAAAAAAGTGACCAAAGTGGTTAGAAAAGACAGTCGATTAAGTAATAGGGCTATTGCTGAACATGTTGATAATAATAAAAAAAACTCTGAGACAAATTTTGCATGAAGAAGTTTGTGCTAAGCATGTACCCAGACTCCTATTTGCGGAACGAAAGATTCATTATAAAGAAATTTCTTCTGATTGTATCGAAACTTAGACTTCTTGTCAAAGATCGTAACCTGTAAGAAACATTGATTCTTTAATGTAATCCTGAAACCAAGCGGTAACAGTAGAAGGATCTAAACTCTGCGATAGTCTTCAAATTCAAGGCATTTTTTATGTTCTTCAATATACGGGGTGTAGTTCATATGGAATGAGTAACACAAACCCAAGCAGTTAATCAATAGTACTATTTAAAGGTTTAACGAAGTATTCGAAAAAAAATTCGCAATTCGCCAAGAAGAAATGTGGAAAGACGACTCCTGGATCCTCCATCAAAATTTACCTCTGTGGCCTTTACCGGTTTCTATAAATAGAATTCTGCTAGGCATCAGCCTGTAGGAAAATTATCTGCAGCCACTGAAAGGTTAGCATGGAACAGTTTGCATGCGAACCTTACACTGTGCGAAACAGTGTAGGGATGTTAAAGGAAAATGTATTGAAGAATAAAAAATGAAAAATTATAAAGTTACTAAATAAGGATGTTACATCAACAGTCTCAGTACTTAATTACGATACCTCGTAAAACCAACATAAAAATTAAAAAAACAAGTTATCAGTTTATATTTGTACTCACCTCTTCTGGTTGCACAGCTCTACTAAAACTCTCTCCCATCGTGCCTAAAAAAAAAAAAAGAATAAGCAAGTTGCAAAACTTTAGAAAATTCAATATTTCACAATTATCATAATTAGTTGGTTCCGGTATAGAGTATGATGCAAATGTATGAAATAAATTCGTTATTTCAGAAACAGACGACTTTTAAAACAATCTTAAATCAAGTCAATTTTTATTTTTGAATGGCCATCAATTGCTATATATGTGTTGGACATAACGTCATCAGTGTGGGCGTAATGACGTAGGACAATTTTTTTAAATACAAACCGATTTGAAAGATCTCCTTATCGCCTTTGCAACTTTATAATCAAATTAATATTTATTTCTACAGGGTTAACCAAAACTGTTGGTTTATTATTACAATTAACTTACAATACATGTTTCATCATCATCATAATCATCAACTAACTTCTAACGTCCACTGCTGAACATAGGCCTCTCGCATGCTTTTCCACTTAGTCCAATTTTGCGCCATCTGAATCCAATTTGTAGTCACTCATTTTATGTCATCTGTCCATCTCGTTGGGGGTCGACCTCTATTTCTGTAAGCTTGTATTCGGGGTCTCTACTCCAAAATTCTTTTTGTCCACCGGTCATCAACTGATCTTGCTACATGGCCTGCCCAGGTCCACTTTAGTGTTGTTATCCTTTCAATAACGTCTGCTACTCCTGATCTTTTGCGTATAGTAGCATTGGGTATTCTATCACGTAGATAAATCCCTAACATTATTGTCTCCATTGCCCTTTCCGCAACTTGTAGTTTACTCACTGTTGTTCTTGTAAGTGTTAGGGCTTCTGGGCCGTAGGTCATCACTGGCAAAATACACTGATTAAATACTTTTCTTTTCAGACACATTGGAATCTTAGACCTAAAAATATCCTTCATCTTTCCAAATATAACCCAAGCGAGGTTTATTCTTCTTTTCAGCTCGATTGTTTGATTGTCTCGACTTATTCTGATCTCATTTCCCAAGTATTTATAGAAGTCAAGTGGCTCAATATATTTGTCTTCTACTGAGATGTTTTTGTTGTGGGCTAAATTTGTCATAAATTGTGTTTTTGAAAAAATTATTTTAAGACCAACTCTTTTTGTGGCAGTATGGAGTTCTTGAAGCATTATCTGTCTGCAATAAGAACGCTATCATTTGCAAATTTAAGGTTATTTAAAAATTTTCCATCCACATTGATGCCCTTTTCGTTCTAATCTATTGTTTTACAAGCGTATTTTAGCAAAGTTGTTAATAATTTAGGAGACATATGAGGGATATGTATCGGTGATCTATTCTACATTGTGTTAGATAGAGCTTGGAGAATTTCACTTTGATTGACCGTATCAAATGCTTTTTCAAAGTCGACAAAGACAAGTATCAGGGGTCTATTATATTCAATGGTTTTTTCAATTAATGACTTAATGGTTTGCAAATGATCATTTGTTCCGTATCCAGCTCTAAATCCTGCTTGCTCGCAAGGTATATTGATAGAAGTCTAGTTTTGATGTCAACCTATTAGTTATTATCTTCATAAACAACTTATAAACGTGAGATAACCAGCTAATAGGTCTATAGTTTTTTAGCTCTGTTAAATCTACCTTTTTGTGCATGACTAATATAACAGCTTTATTCCACTGAGATGGTGTAACCTCTTTTGAAAGGTATAAGTTATATAATTGTGTCTATGCTTTCAATACTGTCTTTCCTCCTGCTTTAACTGCCTCAATAACGATTTGGTCATCACCAGCTGCTTTATTGTTTTTCATTCGATTTAATGACTTTGAGACTTCTTCGATTGTTATTTCTGGGATATCCTCTGAACCCATATTCTGGACTTTTCTCAACTTGGTGCCGTCTTTCTTACCCCTTTCTCTATATAATTCTGTGTAAAATTCTTTAACTACCTTAATTATCTTAACTTTATTTGTTACCACTTTTCCATTTCGATCTGCGAGCTTAACAATATTCATCTTACCTAAAGCTTGACATCTCTTCAGCACCTTTTTCCTCGACAACCGTTGTAATTTTTTTGTGTTATATTGTCGTACGTCCTTTCTCACTGCTTTATTAATATCTTTATTAAGTTTTTGTTCTTAAGTTCTCTTCGTGTCTCCATAAGTCTTTTTGTCTCTTGACTGATTTTTTCCTCCTTAAATCTCCTAGGATTTGTATTGCACTTTTTCTCTGCGTTCTTAATAGCTTTTATTAAGTTATCATTTAAGGTTTCGACATTCATAACGTCTATATTTGTTGTCTCTAGACATCTCAGAATTTCTTCTTCGAAGGACATAGTGTGTTCGATTGGATTCCATCCTACTGAATGTGTTTTTGTTATCATTTTGTATCTTTGTTTTGGAGATTTAGCACGATCTTCGATCCTACCATTCTATGATCACTTCCCACTGAACATATATTAAGAACTGTTACATCATGGACCATGTCTTTGTTGTTGGTTAAGACAAAATCAATTTTATTTTTGCTGACTCCATCTGGACTTGCCCAGGTCCATTTTCTTTGGGGACTTTTTTTGAAAAAGCTATTCATTGCAAAGAGGCCATTTCGTACCAAGAAACCCAAAAACATTTCGCCTCTTTCATTTCTTTGTCCGAATCCGTAGCGACCTATTGCAACTTCGGTCCCGTCCAGTTTACATCCCAACTTAGCATTAAAGTCACCCATTACGAGGTTGTGTGTAGTAGGCGCCAGTTTTATTGCATTTTCTAGGTCTTCATAAAAGGTTTCTATTTCCTCGTCCGAGTGTGTAGATGTAGCTGCATAGGCTTGAATTATTTTAAGGTTGGTTTTTTTGTTAAGCTTCAGTATGCAGAATATTATTCTTGGGTTGATACCTTTAAGTTGTTGGATATTTTTAGTGTGTCTCTTATGTATAAGAAGTCAACTACTACTATTTTTTCTTTGTTTCCCATATAAACAATTTGATGCCCTGATTTAAGAGTTATACAGTTTTCTTCTTAGCGTCTTACTTCACAGAGACCCATAACGTCCCATTTTATGTGTTTTAACTCTTCTTCTAATTCCAGTAATTTTTCTTCAGATGACAGTATTCTTACATTTTACGTGGCGATATATATTTATCGTCCTCCGTGGTAGCCTAATCTGACACGGGGATTCTTCGCACCCTCTGTTTGCTGTCTTTCTTGATCGCTACCTTGACCAAGGATCAGCTCACTGCCGAGTACTGAGGGCCGTGTTTTTGTCGTGTCAAGCATGCTTGGATTTTAGCCATACTCTCTACCGCGCTGGCCAGTGCGAGTTGGTAGAGAGTAGGATGAAGGTGAGAGTTTTAAGAAGAGATAGGAAAAAAGGTATGAGGATCTGGCCCAATCAGGCAAGGAAGGAGGGAGAACCAGAAGATAGCATAAGGCAGGGTCACTAATTCGTGTAGCAGCCTGTCTTCTACTGGGATTGTAGAAGAGTGCTACCTGTCACCATAAAATACAATACTTCTTCTTCTTCTTTTAGTGCCTATTCGTTCCGAATATTGGCAATCATTCTGGCTATAATTATTTTATTAACTGATGCTTTAAATAGATTCGTTGTTGTTGTGGAGAACCATTTCCTCAGGTTCTTCAACCATGATATTCTCCTTCTCCCAATTCCTCGCTTTCCGAATACTTTACCCTGTAGGATTACCTTCAGTAATCTGTATTTAGTGCTGTTTCTCATTATATGTCCGAGATATTCCAACTTTCTCCTTTTAATGGTATACATCACCTCTCTTTGCCCACTCTTCGTAATACGGTCTCGTTGGTTATCTTGTCTGTCCATGATATCCTTAGAATTCGCCTGTATAGCCACATCTCGAAGGCTTCAAGCCTCAATACAATACAATAAATGTTTACTTAAATGTAATTAAATTACAACAAATGTTCAAATTGACGACCTTCAGGCATAATACAACGTGAAAGATAGGCAATCAATTCTTTCCTAACGTTTTCGATGACTTCAGGTGTTATTTGTGCAATTTTCGTTCTGATGCGCTCCTTTAACTCTTCTACATTATTTGGCCGATTTTGATCACGAAATTTTATATATTATAGGCGACTTGAACGCAAAAATTGAGGAAGGTCGACGAGGTCAGACTGTAGGTCCTTATGGTTTAGGACAACCTAACAATCGAGGACAGAGATTGTATGAATTCTGTAAAGAAAACGATATGATCATTGCAAACACCTGGTATAAACTACCCAAGCGACGACTATACACTTGGAAAGCTCCATTTGATGATTGCAATAACCCTGAGTCTTCAAGAAATCAAATAGCCTATATAATTGTAAATGAGCGTTTCCGAAATGCCGTCAAAAAAATTACTACATATCCCTGGGCAGATATTGTATCTGATCATCAACCACTTGTAGCAGATATTAAACTAGGGTTAAAACGAATTCAGCGACAAAAACCAAAAACCAATGTACTTAACTTTGACGATATAAACATAAAACATAACATTAAAAAAGAATTTAACAATAGAATAAAAAACATCGGAGAACAACTAGAAGATCCAGAAGAACTATGGAGTGAATTTAAAAACCAAGTTAACGAAATATCCACAAACAATGATTATAGAAAAAACTTAATCAAGAAAAATAAATGGATGACAGACGACATCTTGAAATTAATGAAAAAACCTCGACTGATAAAATCTAATGTAACAGAATATAGACACCTGCAGAGAAGAATAAAAAAGGAGATTAAATTAGCCAAAGAAAAATGGATGAGAGAAAGGTGCGACGAAATGAAGGATGTAATATCTAAACACGACTTATTTACTGTGCACAAAAAACTAAAAGAAATGAGTAATATATTTAAAAAACGAGTTCCTTCTGTACTTGTTGACAATAATAAAAAAATATTGTAAATAAGCACGAAATAAGAAAAGAATGGCAGCTGTATATATCAGAGTTGTTTGAAGATGACAGGAATAAGATTGTCGAATTCTACCAAAACTGTACTGACAGTCGGAAATTATGAAATGCGAGGTAGAACACGAATTA